TTTTTGATCTTAATTAACAAATGCAATGTCTAAAAAAAGTCTAAAATGAAAGGAGAAAAAAAAAAAATGTTTGTGTTTTTGTTTTATGATTTTTTGTTGATGAAGAAAAAAAGAAAATCATGAAATCATGATAAAGGTGTTAAATCACTATCCCATAATTCCCTATCATTTAAATCATCCATAACAGACCTAAAAAAAAAAAAAAAAAATTAATTAATTTAACGATAATCACAAAAAAAAATCAAACGATTTAATCAACACCTTACCCAGAATATGGTCTATTATGTTCTATCGTACCATCTATTATAGGTATGATTGATCTTGCTTCTTGTATAGTAGCAGATGTAACGCTTCCTTCATATGAATAAATATCAACATCAGAATCTAATAATAATTTTCTTAAAGATTTTTTATCTTTGGCGTAATTTATTATAACTTTTAATAAATTTTCCTCTATAGTTTCAGGTCTATATATAGATAAAACTTGAAATGAAGCGGGACATTCTTTTAAAAAGAAATTTAAAATATCAGAATTAATTGCTAAATAAAAACCGAAATATAAAATTGATTTTGGAAAAGATCTTGAAAATTTAAGTAATTCTTCAGTTGTAAGAAAAGGAAATTCTGAAGAATAAATATAAATAGAAAAATGACGAAGAAAAACTGAAGTAGATAATAAATTAGATACAGAAATAGGAATTTCAGGAGTAGTTAAAGTTAAAGATAAATGAGTTAAATTAGGACAATATTGTCTAATAATTTCAACTAAATCAGGATTAACGGAAGCTAAAGATAAAGATCTCAAATTTAAATTAGCCATACGAATAATTGGACCAATAAGAGTAGAAATATCTAAATGAGATTTTTCTTCTTGATAATGTAAATTTTTAAGATTAATAATAGTATCAGAAGATTCAATAAATCTAAAAGGTTCATCAATATCAGGATGAAGATTAATTAATTGTAAAGTTTCTAAATTTTTTAAAGTAGGTAAAATTTTTAATAAGAAAAGATATTGATCTTGATATAAATCATGAAGTCTTAAATAAGTTAAAGAATTTGATTGAGAAGGTAAAGAATCAAAAATAGTAGCTGCAGCATCAGGAGTCCAAAATTCCAACATAATTAAATCACGTAAATTATTTTGAGATTTAATTAAATTTGAAATACTAATAGCAATTTGAGGTAAATCAAAATCTTGATCAGATATATTTGTTATATTAATATAAATATGTTGAATATTATGAGAACTTTGAGTCATAAAATCGAAAAGATTTGAAATAATTTCAGAAGATTTATCCCCTTGTTCGGACCAACCTGAATAATCGAATTGAAGTTTTTCTAATCTAGATAAAGCTCTATTAGCATCATCAAAAGTAGTAATATCCATGATTAAAGAATCATCATCTTCATCAAAATGAACAATATCTAAATCTTTTATACCTTTACTACGACTAAATAAAAGATTACCAAGAATAGTTTGAACGATATAAGTATTTGTAGAAATATCCATATCACGTTCTTCAAGAACGGAAGCAAAAGTTTTTGTATTAACCTTTGTAGAAAGCCAAGACATGATAGCACCAGTGAAATGAGCGGATTCAAAACTTTGTAAATATCTTGGATAATCAAAAAGGGGAGGGTGACATTCAGGAAGGTCCAAACCTTCATCAATTAAAATTTGTAATTCATCAACCGGTAAACAAGAAATATAAACTTGTATTATATTAGCGGCCAATTCCCCAAAACCATGATATTCAAAAGGGTGACTCCATAATAAAGGTACAGAAAGACGACACCAACACCTATTTACCAATAAACATGAAAAAAGAGTTCCAGGATCATCTTTAAGGTTAGTTAAAACTTGTTCAAAGCATTCAATTGATAGTTTTCCTGGAAGTATGACTTTATTTTGAGTATTGAGACTATTCATATTTGAGATTAACGAAAAAAATAATTTTTTTTTTTTGTATAATTTTTTTTTTACAAGAAA